AAATTCAGTGGCTGCCCTTGGTCAATGTTTATCGAAAGAACCTAGTAACTACCGTCAAATTTTATTTTAGGCAGACAGGGAATCCGGGATATATCACATACCACAGAGCATTTTCCGTGACTGAACCTTGGCTTTGTTCATGATCTCAGACAACAGATACAGCCTTCTTTATCACTTTAAACCAGAATTATTCTAGCAGTTACTTCATAGCTACTGATTTTTTTGAAGAAAGGGCCTCCCAGCATTTTCTTCTACCAGGTTTTTCCATCAGAGGTTAATGAGAATATGCTCAGTCAAACCTTTCATTGCCCTGCTGAGGCTTTAGGAAAAAATCCTGTATGGGTGAGCAGGCAGCTTTCAGCGTGCTCACGGCAGGCTCCCGTGCAAGGGCGAGGATATAGGATATGAGAGCTGAAATTCTCTTCCTTGCCTTGACCTTGCTTCGCTTGGCTAAAGAGGGAAAGGAGGTTTTTCAAAGGGATCCCAAGCTGCCTCCATCAATGGCTCTGTTGTTGCTCGGGGAATGAGGCGAGATCATGGAACGTCGGTAATGGCTTTGGCAGACGTCTGCTTCCCCAAAACCACAGCGAATCCTCCAAACAGAAGCCCGGAAGAAAAGATGCCTTAGTCTAGACGGAGGTCACTTTGCTCTAAGATGCTTCAGATATTAATCATAAAAGCTCTGAGGGGCTCTGCTTTTCCATTAGCTAAGCACTGGAGTTTGACTAACGAGTTGAACACGTTGGGTAATTGAGGGCCAGCTTGTGCTGAGGCTGTGTGGGTGCTGAAGCTTCACGTACAATAAGTAAAATGAATCATGGGGTGGAAGGAGTTCCATGTAGCAGAAGCCTGAGTCATCCACAGGATCCCTCAGGAGAAATAGGTGGAAGAGAAGTCACATTTGCCATGTCCTGGCTGCTTCTGTGTGAATGAAAGCACCCACTGCCGTGACAACGGCATCCACAGCAATTGCTAAGGGGTGAATAAAGACACTGAGCTATTGGGGGATAAAAAGTAAAACAGAAGGACAGCTGTATTTTTGTTTCAGGTGAAGCTCTCAGTCTGGCTGTCCCTGTCACTTTGTCCTGCAATAGAAAATAATGTTGCATTTTCTGGGCGGTGGCCGCTGTCATCCCCAGCTCTGCATGTCCATCTTTGTGTGCTTCTCCCAACCCCATCGCTGCTTCAGTTTTGAACAACTTAGCACCACACTGTTGCTTCTACTCCACAAAACCAGGCTGATTTTTCTCATATCCCTATAGGACCGCTGGCAGCTGAAGGGTTCTTTCTCTGCCGGTTTCACTGCAGCAGGATTAAGGCTAAAGGTGATGTGCTAGACATTTTTAAAATGCCATTGTGGAAGTACTTTGCAGTCACAGCTAGCTGTCAACTGTTTAAACTCTTTCCCTCTCTCTCAGCTTTCCTCCTCTTCTTAATCTTTGCTTTATCTCATTAGCAGCTGACGCGACATAGTTTGAGTCAAAAATGACGAGCAGGGTTACTCATAGGGTCATAAACTCCACGACAGGGAGGTCAAAAGGCTTGTGTGAATGCAAGTTGAAAGTCTTTGCCCCCCTCTAACACGCCTGAGAATTCTGCATGTCATACCTTGCATTCACCAGGGGAAACATCATCGTTTTGTAAGCTGCTGGGTTCCTTAGTCCCGTAGCCCACAGCTTGCCCAAGTGATGTTCTCTCTTTGGAATGAGATCAGGGGTTGAGGCATCTGGAATTTTTCTACTGAGAAGCAATGCTGTGGTCAGGTCTTTCCAATAGCTGCAGATATTGCACTGACGGGACAAATTTTCCGCTGAGATTCCAATGGGAGGTGTTTCGGTTTGCCCTTAAGCTGCTTTTAAACCAGGCTTCCCTCAAAAAAAGCCTGGTTTAAGACGACGCATAAAGTTTATGTATTCATTTGCACCTTCCAGTGTTGCGGGGGCAGATGAACCAATTTAAATTCATCAGTTAAGAGGTGACTTAAAGACTCCTTAGGGAAAATTTCTCTGGGACTGCCAAGTGCTGCCAAGATTTAACAGGGAAAGCCAGTAGGTATAAGACAACGTCTGACTTGGTTTTGATGGGGCTCCGGCTCGGAGGGGCTGTGTGAATTGCTATTTGCTCAGATCTGGCCTTGCTTCCTAAAATCTGACAGGCAAAGACTTCACACCCTTTTAAAAGCAACGTGATAGCCCTTTGAGCAGAGTTTATTTTTATTGGACACCATACATGCCTCCATTTCCCAGTTTGGAAATGCTGCAAATAAGTAGTATAGGATGAAATTTTCCATCACCGTAAACCACTTGGCTTCTATATGTACATGCTCAGACAGAGCTTTTCCCATCACAGCCCATATTTTGAGGGTTACCTCATATCTCTTCAAGTCCCTGAGCCTTTCCATTCCCTGCCCTGTTGGGAAGGGGCAGTGCCTGACCCTTGCTTCTGTGAGACAAGTTGCCGGTCACGGGCCGAAGCGAAATATTTCAGTCCAGGGTGAAAAATGGAAGGTGGGAGGCGTGCAGGAAGAGGTTAACCCTTCTACCAGGACCAAGGTTGGGGCAGGTCTGAAATCCATCAGTCTCTTGCTAAAGGGCAGAGAAACTCCTATCGTTTTTGCTCGCTGTTTTCCGCAGTCACTGCAGCTTTTAGCCTTGGGACTTGTTCAAAGGATTATTTCTTGGAGGGTGATGAATGTGCATGGCAGGACGGGCCTTTCATGGGCTGCTGGCTGGTCAGAATTAGCCTGATACCCCTTTAGCTCAGTGGCTGCGTAAACACTGAAGGTCGCTCACCTTTTCAAAACTAGGAGAGCGGTGTTTGCTCGATGCTGACGCGAGCGTAATGACATCAAGCACATTCTACAGGGGGGCTTCTCCCCCTCCTCTTTAAAGCATGCAGCCTAAATACGCAGACAGTTGCTCATTAATGGAGAGAGCAGGGCTCGTGGTTTGGCTCTGTCTGTTATTAGGTGTTTGCCCCTGGGAGCATTAGGAGGGGAAAAGCAGGTACAAATCCTGCTGGCATCACGTCCCTTCTCTCTTCCTGCAACCCCCAGCTCTGTGAGAGTTAAGCTGAAAGGGCAAAACAAAAGCAGTGGCTGGGCTTGGAAATGCTGCATGTGTGTGGCTGAGCATGGCTTAACCCAGCAGTTACACGTGGATGTTGTATGTAAAGGCTGGGGACTCGAGGGTGGTGCTGGACCCGCTTGCTGTGATCCTCCACACAGACATCTGTGCATCTCCTGTTACGGCGGGGCCAAAGTTGTTAAAACAACCCTTGTTTAACTCGAGTTTTGCTTGTGTTCTTTCTTTTTTAGCCCCAGCCTGGAGGAAAAGCTCTAATTCAAATTAGTGGCTTGACATACAACTTGGGTCTAACCATGATGGCAGGGCACATCACCCACTTTAGTGATGGTAGGAATTACGGTGTGGCAGGCAGGATGTGAGCCGTGTCCTGGGAGCTTGAAGTTTGATCATGTTGGATTTAAGAACACAAAGCACATTTGAGAACACAAAGGGGTTTGGGTTGGGACAGAGAGTAAGTGCTCTAAATGTATGCACTGAGCTGCAGTAATTTAAGCTTTGTAAAGTACAACCAAGTGGAACCTGCTGCTGTGGCCAAAGATCCCTGAGCACGTGGGGTCCTGTGCTGTCTGTCTGTCCCAGGTAAGGACCGTGTCTGTTCTGCAGGTGGGGCAGGGCCAGGTTCTAGGAGCCAAGGGGCTCCCCTGAAAGCCCAGCTACGTGGAGGAAAAGAGCTGCGAGCAGAATCTGTGCGTCTAGGCTGGTCCGACCTGCGCTGCTCCTTTTGCTGATGGCAAAATATATAAAGAGCAGGATGAGACGGGTGCAGAGCGTGCAGCGGGGCTGTGGGTTGTTTCTCTTCTTGCAGTTCACAGGAGTCTGAAAGTGGTCGGGCGGGTGGAGTGGACCTGCCTTAGCCTTCCTTCATGCGGTGCCAAGCCTGCAGTTGTAAATGCGTGCGCAGCCTCCAATGTTTTCCTAAGTCTTTGCAGGATGCCAGAAGCTCCAAAATCAAAATGATTTAATGTGTGTTCGCAAAACCATGAGC